CCTTGCTTTGGTGAAGTTCTCGAGGAAAGGAGTGGCCTGCAATGGCAACATCGAGGTGGTTATGGTTGACGATCTCCCCCAGCAGCTCAACAGGTACATTATATTCTGTTATATATACATTATTTTTATATATATATATTCTAATGTTCAGATTAATGGTATATTCATTTATATCTAGAATATATTCTGGTAAAGTAATGTTCAGGTACCACATATATGAATTTGATAGTTGAAATTGCCATTATTTTTTCTACCTGTTTTACTTATGTATTATCATTATTATTAATATTATTATTATTATTGTTATTCTTGTTAATCACTTATACCTGTTTATAATTTTTATATTATCGACAGTGATTGTGGGGTATTCGTTGCATCGTATGCCGAACATTTCATCTCGGGTCACGACATCCCCAAGGACAAGTTTGATGTCACCTCTTTCAGGGAGAGATACGCATATTTGCTCTATACTCATGGCCGAATGAAGCAAATTAATCGATACGATAGTGACGACGAATCCCCTGGTAGTGTCCCCGATGGAGTTCGGTTTGGTCTTTTGAATGTGGGGAAAACATCGTAGATAATTTTTTTAAGTATTTAGGATTGATTTTTCTGATGGCTGTGATTGAATGTGGGGAAAACTATGAACTTATATTCTCGTGTATCTAAATTATATTCTATTTTAATTCCGGTATATTAATTGAACTTTAATGTATGTTCTGGTATATTTGATGGACAGATTATATTTATGGGGAAAACATTGATCTTATATTCTGGTGTTTCTAAATTATATTTTGTTATAATCCCGGTATATTATTTGAACTTTTATGTTTTGTTTTTTTTTCCTGGTCCACATTGAACGATTTTTTTATGAACTTTGTGATGAATAGACATCAGTTGAAATTCTATTCTGGTATATCCATGCTATATTCTGGTATATCCACGTTATATTTTCGATATATATTATGGTATATTAGTTGAAATTTCTGATACATTCGTTGTAATTTCTGGTATAATCGTTGTATTTGCTAAGTTATATTTTCTGTTTTTATCCTTCAAGGATTGGTATTGATGAATATATATGTTTGGTATGTGTATGGTATATGTTTTGTACATGTGTTGTATATCTTTCGCGATACATTTTATCCTTCGTATATGTTATGTATATGCGTCGTATAACCAATGTCCATGCTGCTTTCACAAACATGAAATAAAAACAAGAAAAAATAAGAAGTAATGATAGTAAGCAACAATCAACTTAAAAACCATCAATATTGTACACGTCAATGGTAATGATTTCATCGTATTGGATTACGACAAGTTTTCACATTGTGCCATTTCTCGTGACATTTGTTGCATCTATTCTTTGATCTATGCTCCCAACCCGACTTGAATCGTTGTTTGCGTGGTCTACCTGGCCTCACTCTTGCATCTAGAGGATTTACCAATCTTGGGACAGACGGTGCATTAAATATGAAGTCTTGATTACCTTCTATTGATATTACAGCATCTTCATAAGTTGCCAATGTTTGTCCCATTTTTGTTGCTATTTTTGTTTATGTTTTGCTTGCTTTTTTCCCCCGTTTTAGGTCGTTTCTTAGGTGTTACCGGTCCGTCTAGTCGTTTCTTGTGTCTTTCCTTTATTTTGTTGTGTTTAGTATTTTCTTTGCTTTTGTCTCTATTTTCCTTGCTTTTCGTGTTGTCTTCCGATTTTGGTGTTTCAGGTCGTTCCGGTTCCCAGGTGTTTTGTCCCAGTTCGTGCCACCAAACAACTAAGGATTGACTTTCTAGCTCGGGAAAGACTGGAGAGATGTTAGCCGAGAGTCCACGAGCCCGGAAAACTAAAAATCGAAAGCTGCCCAGACACTAGCGCCGCTAAGGGGTTAGCGGCGCTAAGGGTGTGAAGACTAGCGGCGGTTTGGCCTTAGCGAGGAGGTAGCGACATCAGAGGCTTCTTTTGGCGAAAATGGGATTAGCGGCGCTAAGGGGTTAGCGCCGCTAAGGTCTGTTTTCAACAGATGCGTTTTTCTTGGATTTTTGAATATAGGGGTTTAAGGGATCGAACTTTGAGCGTTTTTTATCATTCCCAGACGGGTTCTTTCGTACTTTTTTGCCCTAGAAACATTTTCTTTTGAATTTTCACTTGGGATTCATTGGATTTTTGCTTGGATTTGAGTTTTGGAGATTGTGACACTCCAAAGCAAACACGGTTTGGCTTGTATTTTGATTTCGTACTTGACTTGGATTATTCATTATTTCCTTTCATTAGTTATGGATGTGAATTATTGTTTTGAATCTATTGTTGAGATTGATATGAATATGTGTGGCTAAATCATTCCGTTAGGGATAGGAGATATTTGTTTTGGTTCGATTGAGATTCGTGAGCTTGTCTTTCGTTCAATCCATTCAAGTTGTGCTTACTCTAGGGTTAGATGCTTGATCAACATCTTAATCTAATTAATCGATTTGTAGAACCGGAAGGGGAGAAATTGATTGATCTTGGCTTGTTTGGGATAGGCATGTTCGTTAATGTATTGCCTATGTGTTAAGAGTGTCAACTATCGATTTGTTAATGTTTGCTCTCTTGTTACGAGATGTTATTGAGAAGGAACCTCTTAGCAAGTAGGTTATTTGATTCCTTAACCGGGCGACTGTATGCTTATTGAGTGCGTGAGAACCATAGACGAATATCTCCGATTCCCTAACTCTCAAACCATTGTCTGAATTCCGTGAATTTGAAGTGTGTTTGCTATTTTCAGAATTCGTAGTTGCTAATTGGAACCATATCCCTTGGATTAGAGTGTTTAAGAAATTAATTTCTCTTTTTGTGATTGAGTATTCGTACAAGATAATCCGGCTGACCTTCCTTGAGACACGACCCGGTGTTCGAATCTTTCGATTCTACTCCGGTAAAAATCACTACAACAAAATGGCGCCGTTGCCGGGGAAGGTTTAGGACTTATTTTGTGCGCCTATTCACTTTGTTTTCAGTGTTTCTCTTATTTTTGTGATTTCTTGTTTTGTGTGTTTCTCTTTGTTTCGTTTTTCGTGATTAGTTCTAGTGTTCTTCTTATTTTGTTTTTCTTTGTCTCTTTCCTATCTATCTGGTGCCCGTGACGTTTTTGTTGTTTTTGTTTATGCGTACCAGAAGTGGTCGTGTAATCATCCCGAATAACGAATCTATCCAGAGAGACCTCCAAGAACTGTTGGCTAATCTTGCCCCTGAATCTTCAGACTCAGCCAACCGGGACTCAGATAACCTAAGAGACATGGTTGACGAGGAAGTGAACAACCCACCTCGCCATCTTCTTCGTGAATTGGCTCAACCGATAATCGGGCCAGTAACTTCGTGTATCCGGCTAGGACCAGCAGCTCGAAACTATGAGCTAAAAACCATCCACTACAATCAGCTGCCGTCTTTCCATGGTCTACCCAACGAGGACCCACTTCATTTCATTCGGGAGTTCTATAACGTCCTCCAGACTTTTCCTCTCCATGGCTTAAACGAAGACCAGCTGAAGATGAGATGTTTCCCAGAGACACTCAAAGACCGGGCCAAGGCTTGGTTTATGACACTTGCTCCCGACTCCCTCATTACTTGGGAGCAAGTGTATACCAAGTTCATTGGAAAATACTACTCTCACCAGAAGACCCAAGAGTTCCGGTCTCAAATCGTCTCTTTTGCCCAACAACCGAACGAGCCGCTTCATGAAGCATGGGAGCGTTTTAAAGACCTCCAGAGACAGTGCCCACATCACAATTTCCCTACGGCCCTACTGGTGAACAGTTTCTATGACTCCCTCCATCAGAATCTTCAATACATGGTGGATAATGCAGCTGGCGGAGATATTGGGGCGAAGACGGCAGAAGAGATGATTGATATTTTTGAGGCGATGAGTTCTAACTCGTCTCAAAAGAGCAGCCGAGGGAAGAGGACCTTTGTCAATGAAGTATCTCCAGGTCGGGACATGATGGCACAACAGCTAGCCGAGCTCACAGAGCAGATGCGGCTATTGAATGCTAGGGGAGGCCAACCAATGCAGACCATGGCCGTAGAAGCGTGTGGAGCATGTGGAGTACAAGGGCACAGGTCGGAGGTGTGCCCATCAGTTTTCGATCAAGATTATGGGGAACAATACGAAGATGTCAATGCTCTTCAAGGCTACCAGAATCGGCCTGCCAACGACCCATACTCAAACACGTATAACCCGGGGTGGAGAAATCACCCAAATCTCTCGTGGTCTAACAACAACAACATCCAGCAGCCTCCTCGGCAGAACTTCATGCAGCAACAGCCCCGACCCACCTTCATTCCCCAACAGCAGATGAGGCCAAACTACCCTCAACAGCAGCATCAGCAACAGCAGAGGAGCCCAATGGGAGGAATGCAAGCACAAGGAGCCGGACCCAGTTCAGCAAATCAAGACGACAAGCTGGACAAAATTCTCCAGTTTATGGCAAACAGTGAGCAAAGGGGCGTGAACACGGATGCCTCTATCAAACGCCTCGAAACACAGTTGGGCCAGCTTGCTACGAGAGTGGGTAACATGGAGGCCGACTCAGACAAGGGGAAGTTGCCGAGCCAACCTAAGGAAGCCAAAGCCATAACGGTGTTGAGAAGCGGGAAGGAGGTAGACAACCACGTGAAAATTCCCGAGCCTGACATTCTTACACCAACCAACCAGCCCAAAGGAGTAGAGGAGAGCCCGAAGAAGGATACAGGAGTTGAGCCCGGGAAGCACACAGATGGCCCGATGTTACACAAGTCACCAAACCCTTTCAAACCAAGTATACCCTTCCCGAGCCGACTCCGGGACGAGAAGCAGGAGCAGCAATTTCGGGACCTATACAACATGCTCTCGAAGGTCAACGTCAACCTGCCACTCCTGGACGTGATCAAGAATATGCCCTCGTACGTGAAGTTCTTCAAAGACCTAGTGACGAAGAAGAGGAAATTTGGAGACGGGGAGAAGGTAGTGGTCTACGAGGCTGCAAGTGCTATGCAGCATGATCTCCCGAAGAAAGAACGAGATCCCGGGGGCTTCGTGATTCAGATAGCCCTTGGAAACGGAAAAGAGGCTTCGGGAATGCTAGACTTGGGAGCAGGAATCAATCTCATGCCCTTCTCCATCTTTCAGCGACTTGGCCTGGGGGACTTGAGGCCAACCCGGATGTGCCTCCAGCTAGCAGACCGTTCAATCCGGTACCCTAAAGGAGTAGTGGAAGATGTCCTTGTCCGTGTTGGGAGACTCATTGTCCCAGTGGATTTCGTCGTCCTAGACGTCGGGGATGTACAGGAGAATGGGAAGGATCACACCATCCTTCTCGGCAGACCATTCATGGCTACCACAAACACCCTCATTGATGTGAAGAATGGGACCCTGAACATGACCGTCTTGGGCGAGTCCGTTTCTATTTCAGTCCGAGAGGCCACATCTGCATCTTCAGTGAACTTTGTGGAGGAGTGCGCCTTTGTTGATGTTAGTGACCCATGTGTGCAAGAGGTTACTATACGTGACTATGAAGAGAGGACAATGCCTGATCTGGATGATGAAGAAGAGCCAACCATTGAGCTCTTTGCCGTTGACGAGCCCCACACACCGACTCCACCCACTCTAGAGCTCAAGGAACTGCCCCGCCACCTCAAATATGTCTTCCTTGATGACGAAAAGCAAAAGCCGGTTATCATTTTTACCGAGCTTAATGGTGACGAGGAGAAGGAGTTGATTGATGTACTCAGGAAGAATCAAAAGGCGATTGGATGGAGCCTTGGGGACATTAAGGGAATCAGCCCCTCCACATGCATGCACAGGATCATCCTAGAAGAGGGTGTCAAGCCATTTCGAGACAGCCAGCGGAGACTCAACCCGAACATGATGGAGGTGGTGAAGAAAGAGGTGTTGAAACTCTATTCCGAGGGACTCATTTATCCAGTAGCAGACAGTGAGTGGGTCAGCCCGATCCATGTGGTGCCGAAGAAAGGTGGTATTACAGTGATAGAGAATGAGAAAAAAGAGATGGTCCCCACCCGAATCACTACCGGGTGGAGAATGTGCGTAGACTATCGGCGCCTCAATGCCGTAACAAAGAAGGATCATTTCCCATTGCCCTTCATCGATCAAATCCTTGACCGTCTCTCGGGCCATCAGTTTTATTGCTTCTTAGACGGACTCTCCGGCTATTACCAAGTAGCCATAGCACCCGAGGACCAGCCAAAGACCACCTTCACATGCCCATTCGGCACCTTTGCTTTCAGACGGATGCCATTCGGCTTATGCAATGCACCTGGGACCTTCCAAAGGTGCATGTTCTCCATCTTCTCAGATATGCTCGAGGACTGCCTACAGGTATTTATGGATGACTTTTCTATTTTCGGTACTTCATTTTCTGATTGTCTCCATAATTTATCTCGTGTGCTCGAAAGGTGTATTGAGTCTAATTTGACCTTGAGTTGGGAGAAGAGTCACTTTATGGTGACTAGTGGAGTCGTGTTAGGTCATGTAGTATCGAATCGTGGCATTGAGGTTGATAAAGCGAAAATTGACGTGATCGAAAAATTACCCCCTCCTGTGAATGTGAAAGGGGTTAGAAGTTTTTTGGGTCATGCTGGTTTCTATAGGCGATTTATTAAAGATTTTTCAAAAATAAGCCAGCCTTTGTGTCACTTGCTTGCTAATGATGTGCCTTTTGTGTTTGATGATGCATGTGTAGATGCTTTTGGTAAACTGAAAAATAAGCTTGTGACGGCACCTATTGTTATTGCTCCTGATTGGTCGTTGCCTTTTGAGATTATGTGTGATGCTTCAAACCTTGCTGTTGGAGCCGTCTTGGGTCAACGAGTTGATAAGTTACTTCGTGTAATTTATTATGCTAGTTTGACCTTAAACGGTGCCCAATTGAACTATACCACCACCGAAAAAGAGCTTTTAGCCGTGATATTTTCTCTTGAAAAATTTAGATCTTACATTTTGGGATCTAAGGTGATTGTTCATTCTGATCATGCGGCTCTTAGGTATCTCTTGAGTAAGACTCAATCGAAACCTAGACTTATTCGGTGGATTTTACTGCTGCAAGAGTTTGATGTAGAAATTCGTGATAGAAAAGGTTGTGAAAATGTGGTTGCTGATCATCTTTCTCGCATTGTCCCTACTGAGCATTCACTTACTTTGCATGAACATGCTGACATAAATGATAGCTTCCCATATGAGCATGTGAGTGAAGTAGTTAGTGTCCCCTGGTATGCAGATATTGTCAATTATTTATCAGATGGAGTCCTGTTGTCTAACCTCTCTTCCCAAGAGAGGAAACGTTTTGTGTTGATGTGCAGGAATTACTTTTGGGACGATCCACTTCTTTTCAAGGTGGGAAAGGATGAGATACTCCGGAGGTGTGTGCCCGAGGAAGAGCAACAGGATGTCCTTGCCTTTTGCCACGAGCTTCATTGTGGAGGACACTTTGGAGGTCGAAAGACCGCCTTTAAGGTTCTCCAATCAGGTTTATTTTGGCCTTCTCTCTTTAAGGATGCTCATAACTTTTGCAAGTCTTGTGACCGATGTCAAAGAATTGGAAATATAGGCCCAAGGAATGAGATGCCCCTTGTGAATAATTTGCAAGTGGAAATTTTTGATGTGTGGGGCATTGATTTCATGGGCCCGTTTCCCAAATCTTTAGGCTTTGAATATATTTTACTTGCCGTAGATTACGTGTCCAAGTGGGTTGAGGCTATCCCCACAAGGACGTGTGATGCTAATGTGGTCATCAAGTTTTTGCAAGGTAATATATTGAGTAGGTTTGGATTTCCACGGACCATTGTAAGTGACGGAGGCAAACATTTTTGCAACCGTATTTTTGACAAGCTGATGAAGAAGTATGGTATTTCACACAAGGTGGCCACCCCATACCATCCACAGACGTCTGGTCAAGCAGAAACGAGTAACAAACAAATCAAGACCATTCTTGAGAAGACGGTGAACTCGGCCAGGAAGGATTGGTCGAGTAGGCTCGATGATGCACTATGGGCCCAAAGGACAGCATATAAGGGAGTTTTGGGAATGAGCCCATTCCGCCTAGTATATGGAAAAGCGTGCCACCTTCCGGTTGAGATCGAGCACAAGGCGTTCTGGGCAATTAAAAAGATGAACTTTGACCTTGATGTGGCCGGAAAAGAGCGACTACTGCAACTCTCGGAGCTAGAGGAGTGGAGGAATGAGGCCTACGAGAATTCCAAGATTTATAAGGAAAAGACAAAGAGACTTCATGATGCTACCCTTGTCCGGAAAAATCTCGCACCCGGCATGAAGGTTCTTCTCTTTAATTCCCGACTCCGTCTCTTTCCCGGGAAGCTCAAGTCCCGGTGGAGTGGCCCATACATCGTTGATGAGGTGCTGTCTTTTGGTGCTGTCCGACTCCGAAACCCAGCGAATGACGACTTGTTCGTGGTCAATGGACAAAGGGTCAAGCCTTATTTCGAAGGAGAGTTCAAAAAGAATCATGTCGCGACTATCAGTCTCGACGAGCCACTGTATCCTTGATCCAGTCTAGTGCCGAGCTCCCGGCTTAAAACCGAGCATTTTTGTAATTTTTGTATATATTTATTCCAGTCCATCAAAGAAGGATATTCCAGCACCGCAAAATAACGTAATTTTAATCACTTTTAATTTGTATTATTTGCACTACTTTCAATCAGTTTTAAGTGTAATAATAATTTATTGTTTTGTACACAATTTTTTTAACTATATTTCAGGCTGTCGAGAAAAATGAGGCGGGAGAAGAAGAACCCATAAAGGCACAAGGGTGCAATTGTTTAGTTGTATACAGACCCGAGGAAGACGAAGTGAGGCGAACCAAGAAGCTTAAGAAGAAATTGGAGAACAGAATAAGACTTCAAAAATCTTGCCCATTCGCCGTCGGGTTTTAGAATAAATCAAACTGGGGAAGTGGACATGAACCCGTTCAGAGATTGGATTGAAGAGGGTTTGCTCAAGTCGGCACCTCGCAAAGTCGGAAACGGGTACTACTGAATTTGTTACTAGCTATATAATGTGTTAAATATAAAGCATTTATACTACAAACTAATGAAACACATACCATACATATACCTGATAAAATTGTTTTTCGTTGTCAGATTCAATTACTACAAGGTCAGGAGCAAAACTTTGCCAGTACCTTTTGATTTTAATGTTTTTACTGCGACGGACAAGAATTGGTTTTACCACATTCACGAGATGCTCGACAGCAGCGTAAGTAGCATTTTATATAACTCTTCTTTATTTTTTATTTGTTTCATTTTTTTTTAAATACAATTGAGCAGGTTTGTATCAATCAAGGTCATTTCAATTTGGTATAAATGTCAGTTATTCCCCCTCTCAAGTACATTGCTTGTTTTTTGTAAAGTATAAGAGATGATCCTTTCTATATATAGACAAGTTTTGTGTAATGTTTGTTAATAGCACATATAAAATACCTAACTGTTACTGAACATATAATTCTTCCTGTTGTTGCTTGAATTGTCTGTGTTTTTTTTTTTATTTTTTGGTATATGTGTGTTATTTTTTTGGTATATGTAATTACTATATAAGTTTTTTTATAGTATGTGCTCATATAATATGTGGTCAAGTATACCACACATATAAACTGAACAGATATCATTTTTCTGGTATATCTATCATATATTCTGTTCTGTAATATACCACACATATACCATGTTCCTGTGAAAGTATATTTTAAGTAGTGTATAGTATGTGTTCAGATACTATGTGTTCATATATATACCATGTTCCTGTGACAATTGTATTATATCTTTTCTTCAGCACATGGATGTCTTGTTCTATTACCTGAGGAAGCTTGGATTTTATGCTAAATCTACCCCAGTCGCGTTTACAACGACTGATGTGTTGTTTGACCAACACATTAAGTCGTTGTACGGATTGTTTGTGTCTCAGTCGCGTAACCAGTCTGTTTGCAATGTTGACGACATGATCATTGACTACATGTTGGGGTATAAGATTATATGCGGTCGCTCTTGGTCCAAGGTTGATCATGTCATATTTCCGATTCATTTGGAAATTAATGGGATCGGTCATTGGATTATGGGACGCCTATCTTTGGATGATATGAAACTTCACATATACAATTCTATTCGCACGGAAAATTGCGATGCCCTTGTCATGGAGAACGTGAAGGCATATGTCGAGATTATCCCCATTTTCCTTGCTTTGGTGAAGTTCTCGAGGAAAGGAGTGGCCTGCAATGGCAACATCGAGGTGGTTATGGTTGACGATCTCCCCCAGCAGCTCAACAGGTACATTATATTCTGTTATATATACATTATTTTTATATATATATATTCTAATGTTCAGATTAATGGTATATTCATTTATATCTAGAATATATTCTGGTAAAGTAATGTTCAGGTACCACATATATGAATTTGATAGTTGAAATTGCCATTATTTTTTCTACCTGTTTTACTTATGTATTATCATTATTATTAATATTATTATTATTATTGTTATTCTTGTTAATCACTTATACCTGTTTATAATTTTTATATTATCGACAGTGATTGTGGGGTATTCGTTGCATCGTATGCCGAACATTTCATCTCGGGTCACGACATCCCCAAGGACAAGTTTGATGTCACCTCTTTCAGGGAGAGATACGCATATTTGCTCTATACTCATGGCCGAATGAAGCAAATTAATCGATACGATAGTGACGACGAATCCCCTGGTAGTGTCCCCGATGGAGTTCGGTTTGGTCTTTTGAATGTGGGGAAAACATCGTAGATAATTTTTTTAAGTATTTAGGATTGATTTTTCTGATGGCTGTGATTGAATGTGGGGAAAACTATGAACTTATATTCTCGTGTATCTAAATTATATTCTATTTTAATTCCGGTATATTAATTGAACTTTAATGTATGTTCTGGTATATTTGATGGACAGATTATATTTATGGGGAAAACATTGATCTTATATTCTGGTGTTTCTAAATTATATTTTGTTATAATCCCGGTATATTATTTGAACTTTTATGTTTTGTTTTTTTTTCCTGGTCCACATTGAACGATTTTTTTATGAACT